ATTTGAGAGTGAAGTTTATAGTCTTGCCCTCAGTATTCCAGACTGGGGAGGAAAAGGCTGAATCACAGATTTCTGGCTGGTGTTCAGGGGGTTCACAAGGGAGCAAGTCTGAGAGAGAACATTAGCTGACTGGTTTACAGGATCAGCTCCCCAGTGTGTTTGAAAAAGACTCTCTACACTGCTGTCTGTTCCTCCCTCACAACTGGGTGTGGAGAGGATGAGCTCCAGTTTACAACTCAGTCATGTAGTAGAATGAGTGGAATTTTCCAGCTGGTTCCTCTTCTTGGTGCTTGGCAGCGTTACAGCTTTGCCTTCTGGGAGCTGTTAGGCCTCGAGCCCCAAAGCTCAGCCGGCTGTTTCAGCGGGTCAGATTGTGGGAACTCTGTTTTAGTTGGCCCAAGCAGCCACGTAGGATTTCACACCATAAATGCTGCTTACACTCCTTCCCAGTAAACACGTTGACCAATGGGGCTAAATCCAGGAAGGTGTTGCAGCCCTCCCCCAACACACACGGGCACACCCATCCTGAACACAGATTCCCTGGCAACAGGAACCTCTCTGAAAGCCAGAGTCTGGGGGAATCTGCTGGGAAGAACACACTGCTTCCCCATGTCTACATATCCACTGTGAAGAGCAGATGTTAGGATTCCTTTCCTCATCCTGACCTCTTCCTCTTGCTGAGATAGTTCTTGTTCTGTTGTAAGGAAAAAGCCTTCACGGGCAGGGGTGAACAACCGTTGGCCACATGCAGCCCAGGAGGACTATGAGTGCAGTCCAGGAGGACTATGACTGCAGCCCAGGAGGACTATGAGTGAGTGCAGCCCAGGAGGACTATGAGTGCAGCCCAGGAGGACTATGAGTGCAGTCCAGGAGGACTATGACTGCAGCCCAGGAGGACTATGAGTGAGTGCAGCCCAGGAGGACTATGAGTGCAGCCCAGGAGGACTATGAGTGCAGCCCAGGAGGACTATGAGTGCAGCCCAGGAGCACTATGAGTGAGTGCAGCCCAGGAGGACTATGAGTGCAGCCCAGGAGGACTATGAGTGCAGCCCAGGAGGACTATGAGTGCAGCCCAGGAGCACTATGAGTGAGTGCAGCCCAGGAGCACTATGAGTGTAGCCTAGGAGGACTATGAGTGTAGTCCAACACAACGTTATAAACACTGAGGAATTTTTTTGTGACTTTTTAAGAATTTGATTGCACCGTCTTGAGTATAAACTCTGTAGATGACAGCAGTGTTGTGCAGCAATGTCAAAAGGTTGGACACCCCTGGCAATGTGCATGTTTTCATGGATTGGGGTATCTGGGCTCATGCTCACCATCTTGTGTTAATTTTACCTTCCCACTCGTGGATTGACCACTAACCATGCTCACTGAAGGCAGTTCTCCCAAGAGGCAGGGAAACCTAACTGGGAAGTCTATACTGGCACTCGTCCCCATGGAAGGGAGAGCCTTTCTCCACTATGATGGGCCAGTTGATTTCTCTAATCTCTGTGGCCATCAAAGACCTTACTTCTTAAGGTCTCTTCTCCTCGAAGCCAGTTTCTTTAATCTCCACATTGGAAGCTCTCTTCAAATTAGGGACCATTGGGGCTGGAGAAATGGTTCAGTGGTTAAGAGTGCTTGATGCTCTTCTAGATGACCCTGGTTCAATTCCCAGCACCCACATGTCCACTCACAACTCTATTTCCAGGAGACCCTGGCCTCCAGGAGCATACACATGGTGCATAGAAACATATCCAAACATCATAAATACACAGGATAAAAATAAATAAATCTTTCTAAAACTGCTCATTATTATGAGGAATAAAGACAGCCCTCCCCCTGCAATACACCCATCTTGTAATGAGCACTGGAGACTCAGAGTAGCAAATGTGAGGCAGTTTAGTTTACACCCCTACAAAGCTGGGTGCCTCCAACAGAGACAAACTGGCAGGATATTCCACAGAAGTGCAAACGACAGTTCTTAATCCCTGAACACAGGTCCCTCCCCCATGTTTCTCATTGTCTGAGCCATCAGGAGTGTGCGATCTTATTGTTATCTGCTCCTTGCATTTGTCTATTTCTGGACAAAGGCCATGCTGGCTTTATCTCTATGTTTTCCACTCTACTTATTTTGAAGCCTGTTAGAGGCATGAACTTGTCACATTTCCAGGTTGTTAGGCAAGTTTGGTCATTAATAATTTTTTTTGTTTGTTTTTTTTTTTGTTTTTTTTTTTGTTTTTCGAGACAGGGTTTCTCTGTGTAGCTTTGCGCCTTTCCTGGGACTCACTTGGTAGCCCAGGCTGGCCTCGAACTCACAGAGATCCGCCTGGCTCTGCCTCCCGAGTGCTGGGATTAAAGGCGTGCGCCACCACCGCCCGGCAATTAATAATTTTTTAATCTAGGCAGGCTCCCTGGTTGTTGGTTCAGTCTCTGTGAGCCCCTATGAGCCCAGGTTAGTTGATTCTGTGGGTTTTCTTGTGATGTTCTTGACCCCTCTGCCTCCTACAATCCTTCATCCCCTTCTTCAGCGGGATTCCCTGAGCTCAGCCTAATGATGGGCCCTTTGCACGTATGTTACAGTTGTGTAGCTTGGTCTTCTTGTGGGATTCTTAACAGTGGGAGCAGGGGCTGTCTCTGACCCTTTTGCTGGCTTTTGGGATCTTTTCCTCCTACTGGGTTGCCTTGTCCAGCCTTAATAGGAGAGGAGGTGCCTAGTCTCACTGCAACTTGACATGCTATGGCTTATTGATATCCATGGGAGGCCCGCCCTTTTCTGAAAAGAAACAGAGGAGGAGTAGATAGAGGTGAGGTGGGGGAGGAACTGGGAGGAGAGGAGGGAGGGGAAACTGGGATTAGGGATGTAAAAAAAATAAGTAAATAAATAAAAATAAAGTAAAATAATTTTCACTCTAAATTTCTAGTTTAGGTAGGGGTATCTAGGCTAGCAAACATTAGCAGGGGTCTGGTGCTCTCGTCTGTAGCTAGAACTAAGTGGACTCAAGGAACTTTGAAAATCAACCATTACATTAGGTTTTATTTCTTACACTGTGACAGACAGGATGGAGCTACATGCCAGCACAGGTGTGCAGAGTCCGATAAAGATCAAACTCTATTTCTGACTCCCTTGAAGTTAGAACTTAGTTGATTGAAGCTTGGATGTGGGACCAAGTCATGTATGGAAGGAGGCAGGGCAATAGGCATCTCTTGTCTGTGTGGACTGTGCCACAGGTGGTAAGATTCTGGAGTTGCCTGGTGTGGTGATACTGTGTTCTCCAAAATATTGTGCACCCTAATAAACTTATCTGGGGTCAGAGAACAGAACAGCTACTAGATAGACATAGAGGTCAGAAAATGAGGGCACTCACACCTTTAATCCTAGCCTTCTGGAGACAAAGATCAGATCTCTGTGAGTTCAAAGCCACACTGGAAACAGCCAGGCATGGTGACTCACGCCTTTAATCCCAGGAAGTGATGGCAGGAAGCAGAAAGGTGTGAAAGGCGTGAGGACCAGGAAGTAGAGCCTGGTTAAGCAGCAGTTCAGCTGAGATTCATTCCAGATGAGGACTCGGAGGTATCCAGTTTGAGGAAACAGGATTTGCTGAGAAGTTGGCCAGGTGAAGTTAGCCGTGGCCTGTTCTGTCTCTCTGATCTTTCAGCGTTCACCCCAATACCTGGCCCCGGGTTTGTTTTTATTAATAAGACCTTTTAAGATTCGTGCTACAGCTTGGTGTAGCAATGGCTTCTCAGTTCAGTAGGCAGCTTCCTGAACCAGTAGCAACCTTAGTGGTCCAGCTCTAGGACATGGGTTTGGGAATCATTTCTGGGTTCAATTTAAACTTTTTAGACAGCTGTCTCCACTCCTCCATTTAATCAGTGCCTTGGTAAGCCTGCTGCTTTAATCCTACGGTTCCAAAGCTGTGATTTGTCTGTACCTTGTTTACCCAATGATGGGGACAAAATGTTTGAAATTTCACTCTTTTCTTTACTATAGATTTTTCTCTAAAGCTAGCTTTGAACTATCCTGTTCCCTTTTTATCAATTTTTCCGTACAGCAGTGAATGAGTTTGTACTGAACTTTCTCCTAGAATTACATTGAAAGTTTTCCCTGGAATGACATTGATGTGTCCAGTCCTAAAAGTGACTGTTTTGCTGGGCATGGTGGTGTACACCTACAATCTCAGCATTTAGGAAGGAGAGGCAGGAGGATCAGGAGTTCAAGGTCACTCTCAGCTACATAACACTTCAAACAACACATTTGAGGCCAGCCTGGAAGTGTGAGACCTGTTTCGAAAAAAAAATTGTTTTAAGTGTTTCCATTGTTGTCGACCTAGTTAACTGGAACAGTTATGTGTGTCAATTCATGGAATTCATATATTGTCTCTCCATTAATAAGCATGTAATATGCAATATACGTGTGCTGAAGCTCATAACAGGCATGCAAAAGGCTGGGGGAAGCATTGTGTTATTTGTCAGCATCAGTACTGTTACTTGATTTTCATCCAAAATCCATGCAGTCTATCTATGCCATGACTAGCACATTTCTGGACATCTGGGAGTTAACTAAATCACAGTTGTTGGGACCTTATCACTAAAGTGTCATTATATCTCTTCCTCTTTTTGTTCATTTTCTGATGGGCTTATTCTGGCCCTTGATTTTGCTCTAGTTTTGCAATGAAAAAAAAAAATGGGTTCAAACATCTCAGGCATCCAAGGTGCTGGCTACAAAGGCACTCGTTTAACTGGGTAAGACTTGGCTGCAGAGTTACAGAATTGGAATATGTTCTTGAAGAGCCCTCTTGTAACACTTTGAGTTTTGGTCCTTCACACAGACATAGCTTCAAGAGCAAATAGAAAAGTCAGACACCGAGCCTGAATGGAGAGTGTGTTCTCGTTTCGCTGGTTCTATGAAGAGAGCCCTGTTGTGTGCTGGCTGCCCAAGGCCGTGCTGACTCTTCATGAGCCAAAGAAGCAGGGAGTAAGCATTTCAGAAGAAGCAACAAACACACCACCTCAAATTCAGAACTAAAAAAAAAGGACACTCTTTATTGAGGGCAGCAGGATGCAAACAATATAAAAATCAAAAGCTTCTCTGTCACGGAATTAACTTTTCTTTCTCTGCTTGTCGAATTGGAGTTGGATGTTATTTGCACATTTCCTAAGGGTCCTGATCTGCTCTTGAGAAGCAGTGAGGCAGAGTCCTCAAGTGGCCCCCTAGGAGAGCACGCATCAGGGAGGGAGTATCAGGGCTCTGTTTGGCCTACTTCTTTCCCTTCTGCTTCATGTGTACTACAAAATAGTCATTGCATGCAATGATGAGCCCTGCAACTAATGATAAAAAGCTCTGGAAGCCGACTTTGCCATCTCGGCACTGGTCCAGGTCCTTCATTATTTTGTCCACAGCCAGGGGGTCCTTTTGATTCTAAAGAGAGAGAGAGAGAGAGAGAGAGAGAGAGAGAGAGAACAAAGGAGACCAATATCAGTTAATGACGTAGGTGACTTAATGTTATCTGATCCAAACTGCTGACAACTGTGTGCATAAGCGTAATCTCTCAAGAACTTAAGCTCTTGTCTTAAGGTCCTAAGTGACCTTTGTAACTCATCAGCATGTTTTTGTTTTTCTTGGGAATCCACTTTTAGTAACATCATATTTAGATTGTGCCTAAGAACCATACTCACCATTTTCTACTTCAAACTTCAATTTAAAAAAAAAAACAAATTTTCATTCCTGATACCATGATCAGATCCATAAAAGGGGAACTCTTCATGAAGAAGCCACCACAGATTACTTAGGGAGTAAGTTTCAGGTCACTGTTGTATCTGTTCTAAGCAGGTGCTAATGAGGACACTGGGTTCTAGCTTTAGAGAAGATGTAGAGAGCTCTTTTTTCCTTCCACAACTGGGACCCAGCAAGTATGCTAGCACAGCTATCATATTAGCTATGTAGCCTGAGTCCATCACACCGATTAGCTTATCTTCACATATCAACTACAAATAGAGGAGTTTGGATGTGAGTGCCCTCTCTAAGATGCCTTCCATTCTTCCTGGACCGAAACCAGGGCCTCCACATGCTAGTTACATGCTCCACCAGTGAGCACATAGCTCCCGGCCCTCTTTCCATTCTTTGAGTTGGTAAACCTATGCCATCTTATTCTCGTCACTGGATGTTATACAAGTGTGTATGGCTGGGAGGGTGACTCAGTTGGTAAGGTGCCAGCACAAGAACCTGAGTTGGGATCTATAGCACCCACATAAAAGCTGGTGCCGCAGCATGCTCCTAGAACCTCAGCAACAGGGAGGCAGAGACAGAAGGATTCATGAGGCCAGCTGGCCAGCCAGTCTAGCCAAATTGACCAGGGCAAGGTTCAGTGAGAGCGCTTATTTCAAAAAAATGTGATAGGCCCGTGAGATAGCTCAGCAGGTAGGGTACTTGCTGCTCTGTCTGATGACCTAAGCTAGATCCCTGTAGCCCACACGAAGGAAAGAGATCCTACTTCCCCAAGTTTTTCTCTGACCTCCATATGCATGCTATGGTACACACACACACACACACACACAGACACATACAAAATAAACAAATAAATGTAAAAAAAAAAATTAAGGCAGAGAGTGATTAAGGGATGATACCTAATATCAAACTTTGGCCAACACACACACACACACACACACACACACACACACACACACACACTCAAATGAGTTTGGAAGATCGAATCATAAACTCCTCGGTGCATAGCATGAATGGGTGGGGCAGGGAGAGACAGGCAGATGCCTTGACTTTCATCTTGTTTCCCTGGTGATTAGCTTGATTATCCCTCTTGCTGCCACGTTGGTTAGAAGTGCGAAAGTGTGGTTCCTCCTATAGGTCCCTGCTATCTCAGAGAGGGAAATAACCTCTAATGTATTAGGGGCTGTTAAAAGGCACAAAGTACTTACGAATTCCAATGACTGCATAATTAGTGGGGGAACCGACGTGCAATATATTAAGTATGCTGGATGCTTACAAACTGCACTCAGAGATCTCTTATGGTAAAGGAGTCATATTGTCTACTTGAGGCTACAAACTCCTAGCTAGCAACTGAAACCTTCTCTATGTAACCAATTCTGGCCTCACCCCCTGCTTCCTGGCTGTGGTCAGAATGAGTGAAATTTGGATGACATAAGCCATCTACTTTAGAAACAAATGCTCTTAATGCAGGGAGTGCATGTCTAGAATTATGACCCTGTCTGTGCCTGAAATAAACTATTCTGCTGTGTTTAGCACACTCCATTGCAAACATCCTTTACGTTTCTCATGTCACAAAGCCTTGAGTATGAAAGGGTTTGTGCCTTGTGTCACACACGATTAACGGGTGTTTCAGCGTTGAGAATGCCTCTGTTGATGTGATGGGCTGGCTTACAAGGAGCACTTTCTGCTCTTGCATTTTGTGCTTGTCTAGAAGGATCATAAAGTGGGCATGGAAACAATTGTGTTCAGTGCTCTCATTTTAGGGAGGAGGGAACCAGGACTAGAGAGTGGAAGCAGCTCACTATTGTTAGCCCACAGCTAGATCTTTGGAGCCCTTTTCCGGGACTGCATCTCAGCACCTTATGCTGACAGAGGAACTATGTACTCCTGCTCACTGAGGTGGCGCTGGGGTGACTGCAGCTCAGAGGGAGGGGCCAGGTCATTTATTTAACTGATTATTGATGATGTGTAAAAGCAGTCTCCTGCAAAGCCCTGTGTTTATTAGTGTAAGAGTCGGGGCCTTAGGTAACATGTTATTTAGCAGGCAGATGATAAGAGGCAGGACACAGCCTTTTTACCATCACTTCCCTTTACCCTTCGGAGACTAATGCATTATTGAACACCCAGTACAAGAACCATCCTTTCTTTCCAGAAAAAGATGGGATTGCACCACAGTCTGCTATTGTGTCAAGCAATGTTTTGTCTTGGGTGAACATTAAATTCAACAACTAACGTCTCTTGAGGGCCCGCAAAGTCAAAAGACAACTATGCCTAGCTGACTTAATGTCTTGAGTGGCATATCTGAAGAGTCCTGGTCTTCAGGAGTTGTTCAGTCTGACCAAAGGGAGGTATAACCTAGATTGTGCTTCTAGGCTCCTAAATTGACCTTTTCATTGTAAAAAGCTATATTTCCAGAGTGACATTTTGCTCTTATTCAGCCAACAATGAACACGATCCCTTTATGGCTTACAGCTGGAAAAAGAAGAAAATTATTTTTGTCCATAGGGATTTAAGAAGATTTGAGTACAGGGAGTTTCTCCAGTAGAGCTCCAGGTTTGCATGAACAAGACTCTGGGCTCAAACTGCCTCTCACACCCACACCTAAAGGAGATGAAAGTTGTTCCAAGTGGCGTATGACCAGAATGTGGAACCTCTGTCATGTTAGACCTGAGGTGCAACATCCCTTGATCCATTATACCCTTGTGAAGAGTCTTTTCCCCTCATCTGCACTCAGCGGAGCGTGGATATTCTTATCAGCAGGTTGAGGGCAGGGGGAGAGTCTTTTCCACTTTGCTGCCCCTGTGATATTTTAACACTGTCTACTAAGTGAGCAAATGGAACACTTCCAAGTAGTGACCCTACAGGGGAAGGATGGAAGAACAAGGGAAGGGCACTTTGATTTCCACGTCTGGTTCTGAGACTTTCAACACTTACTTCCAAGAACCCAGGGAACTCCCTTTCCATGAGCAATCTCAGGTCTTCCTTTGTTAAGTAGTCTTTGTCCCCCGCAAATCTGTGAAATGTAAGCATCATGGTTTCCATGGCATGCTCCATCTGAGACGGCATCTTGAAGAGGTCTGTTGAAACCTGTTAAAGGATGTAAAGAAACAGAGCTTTCATTAACCTACATGTACTGAACGTCTGTAGAAGGTGACTGGAAAAGATGAAGTAGATGGTCTAATCACCTTTCCAATAAAATTCAATCTCAGGCCCTGTTTGGGGTCTTTTGCAGGTGGCAACAGAAACTTCAGGTACTGGACCTCAGAGCATGGCATTTGCCTGGCTGTCAGCTACTCTGTATGGTTCCTAATCATGATAGGAAGGCCTAACTTTCTGGAGAAGCAAGACAAGAGCTGCTCCTTTTGACTGGAAAGCACCATATGAAAGAAGATGTTTCCTTACTTCCCTTGTGACTCTTAGAAATGGCTGAACACCAACAAGCCACAAGTCTAATCTGGTAACACAGAAACTTCATTCTTCCATGCATGACTTATGAACCTGGACCAGTGTGACTCCAGAGATTAGAAATGTGCTTACAGATGGATGGGTGTGTCTGCTGGAAATGTGTACTCTCCTAACATTTTGGACCTGCTCTCTGGCAATAAATGCGGCTGCCCACCCCCCACCCCCAACCCCCACCACCACCACCCCCCCTGCCCCCCCCCCCAGTACATGCTTCATAAAGTTCATTACCAAGTTCAGCAGAGAAGGAATAGGGAAGAGTTTACACAGACTCCTTTGGGAGCCGAATATATTTTTGGTAGGACTATGCAGAGTGTTTTCCTTACAAGCTGGAGTGCAGTGAGAGAGCAAGGGCCTTTCCTCACGAAGAGTTTAAAGAGAGAAAAGGAAATGTTAGGTCATTGTATTCTGGTACAGTGAACAGGTGCCAATGTTTCATCAAGACCCAGTGCCTAATGGAGCTCAGTGTCCACATAGAGTTTTGACTACAGATGAAGGGAGAGGTTGGAGCCTTCCCCCACTGCAGAGCAACAATGGGAATTTGGGGGTGTGCTTTGGTCTGATTCCTGCTGCTGACAGAGGCCTGTTCAGTACAGAGCCCTAAATTCTGTGACTCACCCCAACACACACACACACACACACACACACTGAACCCTAGAACCTCACTCATGCTGTGCATGCCTCCCGATCACTGAACTATCCTCTAGCTCTCTTTTCACTTTTTATTTTGAGACAGGGTCTCACGGAGTTACCTAGGATGGCCTTAATTTGAGATCCTCCTACCTCTGCCTCCTGAGTAGGTGGTATTGCAGGTCTGAGCCACTAGGCCTGGCTTCTGAGTATTATCTTTTACAGATTCAAATGTGTAGTGCTGAACACTAGCATTGAAAAGTTAGATTCAAGGATTGTAATGTTGACCTCTTGATCTCCAATAAAGTACAAGAACCAGTTACAGAAAATGCCACTTCTGAGAACACTGTCAATCAGGATCTAGCATGATTCATCTGCATGACTTGGATAGCAACAAGTTTACACTTCAAGGTGTATGGTGCCGTGAAATGCAGAACAGCCACGCCTTTTTTCCTCTCTTCCTACACTGCTCAGATCTGCCCCACCTCCCCACTCCCGGATAGGGGTTTCTGGTGCAGGCAGAGGGCTCAGAGGGAGTCTGCATTGCCTGGATTGCTTTGGAAGTGCAGCAATTGAAGAGAACTGAACTGAGTAAGTCACCTCAAGAAGGACATGGGATGCTGCCTCAGCCCTTCAACAATCCAGGAAAGGAGCCAGACACCAGAGAAAATTTAAAAGTCTGTGTCCACATTTGGAGCCACAGAGCTCTTTGACCTCTTTTGAAAGCCAAGATTCCAGATGATGTCCCAGATGTTAAAACTAGGTGGACACCCATTGTTCTTTCCTCACAGGCACTGGGAAAGTATATTGCAGGGCTAGAGAAGAAAGAGGAATGGACAGAATAGGGATTCCCCCAAACAGAAAAACAGGTCAACTTAGTACTCCCCAGAAATGCAAGTTGAAAGCCAAAGAAGCCCTGGGCTCACTTGAATGTCCTCTTCAGGAGGGTGAGGTCAGGTTGCCCTAGCCAAGAGCAGGTGCTCAGGTCTGAGGTCAGGCCACTCCTTCCTTTCTTCCCCGCCTGGTTAGGAAATGGTAGAGTTCCTCCCTGAAGCTTCATATCTGCCCTTTGGTCCTCCCTCCCTGACTCCCTAGCTGTTTCAGTCCACACACCAGTGAACAGAGCAGCTGACCGACTTCCTGCTTGTTCAAGAGACCTGCAGTGAGAAGACAGAGATAGGGGATGGCCGGAAAGTGAAAACAGAGTTGAACTTCACAGGAGATGCCCTTGATTCCAGAGAGCCCTGACCAGGTCTACAAACAACATTCTGGAGAAAGTTTTAAAGTAAGGCAAAGGATCCAGGTGTGGTAGGGGCAGTCCCAAGAACTATGAACCCAACACTCAGAGGTGGGATGGGGCTGAGACAGGAAAAATAGTGTTCTAGGCCAGTCTGGGCTATCTAAACCCTGTCTCAAGAATCAAAACAACAAACTGAAAAAGTAAGACAAAAGGGAAGTGTGATAACGCTGTTCTCTTGAATGAATGATGCAGTTCTTCTCTGGTAAAGTGGTCCCAGCCTAGCCTCCACTGCTTGAGTGGGGCTTGCATTACAGGGCTCACTACAGCTCCATAGTCAGTTACTAGAGTGCAAGCTTTTCAGGAACTTGAATCTGGCACCCCCACTCCAGATGGGTTGGGTCTTCCCCTTCTGATTGGGTAACACTTTGTCACACGAGCCTTGGGACTTGGTCTGAGAGGTAGGGGAATCTGTTCAGTGTTCCTGACACCCCATCCCATACCTGGTTTACACAATCTGCTACAGTTGTCACAATCTACCTTGGCCTTACAGCTGCCTTGGTTAAGAACCCCATATCATTTTGCTTTAATTAAGAGATGACTAAATACTATTTGTTAAATGAAGAGCTCAAAGTAGCTGAGATACAGATGAGATTATCCTTAGACAGCTGACAGCTTTGCAGCTCAGAGCTCAGCAGTTAGGGGAGATGAGCTCTGGGAAGGGTGGGGAAAGGGGCCCTAACAGGGTTCACCTATGAATGGCAAGGCAGAGTACAAAGAGCACATTCCAGACACAAAGGAAAAAAAAAACGTGTGTCCTGCTAAGCAGGTTGGGTAGGATGGACAGGCTTCTCACTCTTGCTCTTTCTCGCATTTTCATTCATCACACTGCCTCACTGGCTCCCCAGGCCGGCCCACACACCTTTCCTTGAGCCATTTTATTCTGATGTCTGTTTATGCCCTTCACACGTTAGCCTGAGCAATGGGTCTCAAGCATCTCTTTCTCTGCAGCAAACAATTCTGGTTTTTGTTTCTCTTACACTGAACACCTACCTTGCACACCTCATGAGGTTAGGTACCAACCATGTTCTCATTCTCTCCGTTGGTCTTTCTGGGAGGGGCAGAATGTGGGAGGGAGTCCCTCTTCCTGAGCAATCCCAAATGTCTGTCCTGGACCTATGCCCAGGTCTAGGCTATAAATCTCAGAAGCTGGAGGCCTGATTTACTTTGTTCATCTGTATTATGTCCATATTCTACTTTTCTTGAAGCCACCCAGAATGCATTAGGGTGTTGGTGAACATAAACATTCATTATTTAAAAACAATTGTAGTTTCTGTTCTTTTGTTTAGGGGAATTTGAAGAACCTTTTTTCTTTTTTTTTAATTGAACCCAGAGGACGTTCTTGAATTTGACCCTTAAAGAATATTTGGAGGAGGAGTGAGTTTTAAAATAATGGAGTTGGGCTCAGGTTCTCTCACCAAATAAAACTTGCTTACTACAGACATGATCTGCAAAAGAAAGTTCCAGATGCAATGCAATAGGAATAAAGAACTGAGAAACCTACTCTAATCCAACCAAGAACACCCATTTTCCCATGAGAAGCTGTCATGATTCCGCCAAAACCAACCAGCAATAGCTACGGTGACAGATGGGAATTATTTAGTTGAAGAGGTAGAAAATCCTGAACATTGTCTTTAAAAGCAAATCCACCCATCTCTCTACCCATCCCCCCCTCCTCCCCTCCCTCCTCCTTCCTTCCCTCTCTTTGAAGAATGGCGGTGGTCCTAGAGAATGAGAGCCTCACACAGGCTAAGCATGCTACTTCCTTTTGCTTTTGATGTATGATTCCTAAGTTGCCAGGCCTGAGAAAATGGGAAGCTTAAGATAGCGCCCATATTTTAGTCCAGCTTTTCCCAGCACTGTGAACACTAATTTATATTTTATAATTCTGAAAGAATCCCATTGTTTCTCTTAGCTATGCTTAAATGGATGGACCGTGTCCAAGGGCATATCAGCTTAGTGCTCGAAAAATCTCTCTCTCTCTCTCTCTCTCTCTCTCTCTCTCTCTCTCTCTCTCTTGAGCTGTCAGTGGAAAGAAGAGAGGCATCCAGCCTCAGCCCCACCCAGCCCAGAGTCTGACCACATTGGGGTGACTGCTCAGAGGCCAGGCATAGGAGAACAAGGGCCCATCTCATGTTGCGTCCAGGAAAAGACAGGGAACAGATCGCCCAGAAATCAGACTGAATCCAGATAACTGCTCTATGCCAAGCAGACCAAAAAGGCCAGTGAGCTGAAATACAAGCTCTAGGTGGTGGATCAAAGGTTACCAGTGAGAAAGTCCTCTCTGGCTGTCAGGGGCATCGATGCCATGTAGAAAGGATGATTAATAGACGCTGCTGGGGGTCTGTGGGGGAGGACTAGGGGAATGAAATCTCAGCGAGTTACATGAACTTGCTCCTGCTCCAACTCCTGGCACCATCGTTTGCAGTTTGCTGAAACACACTGAAGGCCAAGCTCTCTGACGGGGCGTTTCCATCCCACTTGGAGTACAAGAGGTAAAAATCCACTCCTGGAAGCTGAAACTCAGGCTCCAGGAGGAAAAACATGCAGCAGCACCAACTCCAATCAGAGAAGCAAACCCCAGCAAAGCTGAGGCCTGCTGCCATAGGGCAGTTACCTGGTGGCAACTATCAACGGTCTTGTCATGGTCCTGTCAGTCTAATCACTACCCTCCCAGGCAGCTCAGTTAAGAAACCCCTCCTTCAGGTTGGTGGCCAGTTCGAGTGTGACTCACTTCCTCTTGGAAACTGCCCTGGAAGATGGCACAGTTCCTCTTTTCCTTCAGGGAGTATTCTGTCCAAACCATCCGCAGAGTATCAACCAGCCAGGCCGCGCCCATGGTCTCACAGCTGAGTCACAGGCCTTAGATCACTTAGGAGAATCCTGGAACTCTTTGTGCTAACCCCACCCTGCAGAATCTAGCTTCCCTGGGGTGGGCGCCGGAGAAGGAAGGGAGGTGGGTTAGTGAATTTCAGAATTTGTCTCTGGGCTCTTTGCTGGTCTGTTACTTCTGTTTGCCTTGCCATCCTCTTAACAGTTCTCCAGAGTCCTCCCAGACAGGTTAGGAAAAGAGGTCATTCCTGTGGCCAAGCTCAGGCCGTGAAGCAGGTACCAATGGATATCCATCTCACAGTCCCACATCAAGTTAATCTGGGACTGAAGATGCTCGACCAAGCCTGTTCTCAATCCACCTCTTTCTGGTTCCCTTTATTTAATTCAATTCCAAGAGGGAAACTTGGTAGAGAAAAGTCGCCTCACTCCCTCTCACCGCAGTACTTCTTCATAAGACAACCAATAGAAGACCCGGTCCTAGCCCCAAGTTCCTTCCCCACCAACCTGCAACTTGCGCTGGGGTAAGGCAGAGCAGGACCCTTTAAGAAGGGAATCCTCCAGCTGCCAAGCCACCAGTCCTCCCTGGTCCAGATTGGTTCAGGCAGCCCTGCTGTGGAGAGGAGGCTAGGAACATCTGGACTGAGATCTGCCTGCAGTTCAAAGCCGCAAGGAAGACGCCAGCTGGGACAGAGCGAGAGCAGGGTCTGCTTAACTCTAGTTAACTCTCAAGACTAGTTGCAAAGTAAGAAAGGTGAGAGTGAAGAACAGTATAGCTAAAGGGTGGAGGTCAGAGGAACAGCGGCCCCAGCGCCAGCGTAGGGTAGCTGCAGACAAGCGTCGCCTCCGCCCTAGCGGGTCTGGGGGTGTCGGCGAGCGAGCGAGAGAGCGGCCCCACCCAGGCCCACGGGGCACCGCACCTCACAAAGTCGGGCTGGAGTCCCGATCAAGCGGGTATGGGGTTCTCCGCGGGTAGGTGTGGGGTGCGGGACTCACCTGGGCCCCGAGGCGCAGAAGTCGTTGGGGAGAGCTTGGACACACAGCGGTGAGGCGATCGCAGACGGCGGGGCGTCTTTGTACGCGGGGCGGGTGCAAAGGGCGGAGGCGCCCCGGAGCGGGAGGAGCCTGGAGGGCAGGCAGCCGCGCTCCCCACCAGCTCCTCCCTTCCTGCCCCCCACCCCGCCCAAGCACTCTCTCTCAATCTCTCTCTCTCTCTCTCTCTCTCTCTCTCTCTCTCTCTCTCTCTCTCTCTCTCTCTCTCTCTCTCCCCCCCCCCCCCCAAACACACACACACACACACACACACACACACACACACACACACACACACACACACACACACACACGCTGGTCACACACCCTTCCCACTCTGCTCTGCTGACAGCCGAACCTCGCCCGTCCCCAGGGACAGACCTATTGTAAACGTCCCTGGGAGCAGGAATGCTCTTAGTCTCGAATATTTCAGGGCATCCCCACCCAGGGCCGTGCCCTTCCTCTCGGGTTTGGTTTTAGAAAGTGGGTGAGTATAGAAATAAGAATCCAGCCGTCCTGCGGGCGGGGCACACTGGCCCAGACCCAGAGCCAAGCGGTTCTACCAGAACCTACAAGTTTAGAAATCATTTTCTAGATGACAAGACGTGGATTCCTGAAGACCTGGGCGGCTTTCAAAACAGGCCACCTAGTTTACTCTTGGATCTGGTCGTGGAGGTCGTGGGTCCTGGGGTCTCCAAGGTTAAGTGCAGAAGCTAGGCCCCTGTGCTCCTGCCTAGCCTGGAGCGTACTATTTGCTCATCAGTTTCAGGGGCATCTCAGAGCTCTTGGAAAAGGGTTCACCTTTCCTGCTACAACTTGTGTCTTTGCTTGGTCTATAGTGGAGTTTCAGTTGATGCCAGTATCGCTAAAAGCAGTTTCAGGGCCTCCTTCTTGACTCTTCTTGACCCTAAAAAGCTCTTTGGAAGACATCGAAGTTTCTCCTAACTGGCATTCACTGCCCCCCATACTTACTTTAATTGTGGTTTGGGGTTAAACGCAGACTACTAGCAGCTCTTGGTGACACAGCCCAGCCCCTAGCACTGGGGTTTCCCCTGTTCCCGGAGGAAGTCCTAGAAGGGTGAGAGATTCCAAAGGAATGAACAGAAGAGGGGGAATCCTCCAAGTGCTACCACGTGACAGTCTTGGCAGGGGTCAGGAAAACCCAACTTGGATCAGCTCCGTTTTCTCCAGGGTCTCCTAAACCTCAGCTCTGGCTCTTCAAGAGGGTGTTTCTTCCAAATCTTCCTGCAGGCCTCAGAGGCCCCAGGTCATCGGCACTAATGGAGGAATTCCTGCCCCTTCCCTTTGGTCCCAGGGAAGATGCAGTTGGAGTTAGGATAGTCCTACTCACAGGCTTTCTTCCCTTGGGCCACAAGCCTTAAGATGTGTAGTGTGTGGTAGTCCCTGGGGACTCAGAGATGCAGGAGTCCGTTTCTTCTCTCAAAGAACCCCAAGTTTCTGGGGAGATAGTAAACATAATTCCCAGTGATTGGTGAGCAGTACAAGAATGTTGGAGAGGGGCTTCACTGAGGAAGCAGTTTTTGATGAAAACTCAACAAATAATCTAGCTGTCACTGTAACTCTTTAATCTGTAAAAATGTTACAACCTTTAAAAAAAAATGTCTATGGGCACTCACTGTGTCTAAATGAATGTTTTTTGAAATTATTATGTGCCTGTGCCTGTGTATGTGCACGACCCCCACATACATGTGTGCCAGAACACATATGTGGAGGTCAGAGAACAGTTTTCAGGAGTCGGCTTTTTCCCGGTACTGTGGGACTCGGAGACTGAACTCAGGCCATCAATCAGGCTTGCACAGCAAACACCTTTACTCTCCGAGTCATCCTGATTACTCAAGCAGCATATTCTTTTTGTGGAGGGCTTAGAAAACATAGCAACTAAAACAATAAATAATGTATTTATAAATGCACGAACCAAAAGATAAACATGTTTGTGTGTTTCTTTCTAGTCTTATGCATATATTTACACAATTATGATTAAATTGATTTTAAAAATTGGTAGCATTCTCTTTTTGCTCCACAGTATTCATTTCTCTCCCTGCCCCTTCTCTGTTTTTGAGGTACTAGGGATTAAACTAAGGGCTTCTTACATGCTAGCTAAGCCCTCTACTACTACTGAGTTACCTCTCTAGACCACTTCTGCTTTTCTGTGTCACTATATATCAAGAGCATCATGTTCGCTCACTCAGTTCCCCTTTTTTCATTCAATTAGTAACTGTCTTCTTCAATTTGCTAGAGAACTCTAGGATTCTGAAGCCCTGGTGTGTGCAGTCCCACTAAGAAGCTGAGTTTTTGAAACAGCGTGTGAATGCTGAGGGTACGTGATAAACAGAGCCACGAAGATGGAGACTATAGCAAGTCTCTCTCACTAACTCCCCATGGAGCTTCTTAGCTGCTCTGTGTACTGATAGGTCCATGAAGTTTCCAATGCTTATGATTCTTTAGGAAGCTGGGTATGGTGATGCATGTTTATAATCCTAGCACGTGGGAGGCAAGAAGATTGTGCCTTTGAGGCCTGCCTGGGCTGCATAGTGAGGTGGTCAAAAACAAACTAAAAAAGCAAAGCCCTCCTCTCCAGGAAAAGTGTTTCCAGCCAAGTTCTTTCTGGGGAAGATGGCTATGCCTTGTCACCCATATGGAATAAGTGAGGCCAGGCCTGCTTCCCTAGTAACAGTTGACTGGAGCAGAGACCAACTCCTGAGCTGGAGCTGTTCTGTGAAGGATAGAGTTGGAGCAAGCAATGAAGGGAAGATGTGCAGGGAGTAGCAAACTGAACGGCACGGGAGGAACAGGAGTTGGATGCAGTGCGGCCCCTGGAATGAAAGGAAGCAATTTACAAGTTGCCCACCAGGCTTTAGGTACCATCTAGTAAGGTGATACTAGAGATTCTCCCTCCTTCTCTATGAGGCATAGCAATAAAACCCCATTACCAGTGGCTCTCAGCCATTTTGAATCTGTGGCTGGAGCATAGAGGTGTGGGCTATTCACTAGAAATGTCTGTTTTTTCTTCCACTGGATAGAATTGTTTCTGGGAAGTGGCCGCTTAGCCTGGGATTATGTTTCTAGCACCTCTTGCATCCAACTGGGACTATGAGACTAATCATCCACAGAATGAGTTTGCAAGTAATGTAAGTCATTTCTAGACTCAGGTAGCATAGGTGACTTCCCCATATTTTTTGTTTATGTCTGCTGGACTCCATGAATCTAAAGACAGAAGAGTCACTGTTGGGAAGAGCCTGGGTCCCCGAATCACTATATGGCAGAAAATTACTTGTTGACCAGGAACCCATCACTGGGCCAGTTATGTGGATAAGAAAGACCTAAGAATTAGGGGGTTTATTTGCTACAACATAACCTGAGTGAATAGAGAGACATTCTTTTGGAGTGCTAGTATTTTGGGCAGTACAAGGTCATTGACCAATCTGTCCTAAACACTGATGGGATGAAGTGTTCATAGGTCCTGGAAATTATACTGTTTCTTCATGTGTGGTACCATGCAGAAATCTGTACAGCCTACTTTAACATTCTGTCTACCCAGAGACTAGGTACACATAAATCAGCTGAAGAAAATTTATCGGTCAATTTCAGTACTCTTGGAGGAGTCATAACAGTCCTTCAGGGACTTCAGTTGTGTTGATCTGGTCAAGACTTCTTCTTGCTGGCAACACAAAAAGGAAAAGAAAAGAAACTGATCTAAATAAATATGACTGCACCAGTGTACCCCAAAATAGTGAGAGTTGAGCATTTAAGTCATTGCTATTATACTACCATAAATAACAAATCACATAATATATAAAGGAACAATTTTGAAACAATATCTTGGCCACATGCTTGCTTTATATGAATTCCTACAAAGAAATGCATCTTTTTGTGAGTTTGCTTATGTGGCTCTTAAAGAACCAGTAGCAAACGTGTTTTTGTGGGGGTAGATAGGAAGAAAAAGCAGGTGTTGGTATGGGCTCAGGAGTGTACTGACTCCAGAAACTGCCCCAGTGGCATGGGGAAAATGCAAAGTTCTTAAAGCTCAGAGTCCTGGCACTGGTGCCTTTGTTGGCACCTGCTTAGGAAGTGGGAGCTTGTCTCCACGGTAATGAGAAGCCACTGCAGAATGTAAACAGGAAGTGAACAACTCTCCTACTTAGCCCTATGCTCTAGGCACATCACCACAGCCAGCCAGTTTCCTTGTGGGTAAAATGGGGGTAGATTCATCTTCTAGTGCATAGGGGAAGACCAAGTCATCTAATGAACATGAAGTTGTCCAGCTCGGTCCCAGCAGGTCCCACCTCTTCTGTGTAATCTTCTATTTTGCAAGAGAAGTAGCTTTAGAAAAACAAGGCTGGACTGTTTGCCACTACCAAAGGTGTGTGTTGGGGGGGAGGGAACTCAGCCAAGGCTGCACAACTCACCGCTACCTTAAAGTGACAGAATTCAAAAGACTATTGTTATTGGGCTTTTTTTTATCCTACAAAAGTTCTCTCATTAAAAAGAGATTTATTTTTCATGTGTATGTATGTGTGACATTGTGAATGTATGTCATATGTGTGCAGGTCCCCGCACAGGCTAAAAGAGGATGATGGATCCCCTGAGGCTGGAGGTACAGGCAGTTGTGAGCTGCCTGATGTGAGTGCTGGGGATTGAACTCATGTTCTCTGAAAGAGCAACAGTTCTATTACTGAAATTACTGCTGAACCGTGTTCCAGTCCCCTTAGCTTAGTACTGGAAATCACCACTTCCTTCTGGAGGAAAGATGCAAGTGTGAATGATTATAATCTGTGAAATATTTACAGAGTGACCTATTAATTCCCACAGTAATGGCTACTGGAATCCAGACAGAAAATCACTGACCTGATGAGCTGTGCTAGATAGTTTTATGTCAACTTGACACAAGCTAGTGTCTTCTAAGAGGAGGGAACCTCAACTGAGAAAATGCCTCCATAAGATTGGGCTGTAGGCAAACCTGTAGGGCATTTTCTTAATTAGTGATTGTTGGAGGATGGCCACTGTGGGTGGTGCCATTTCCTGGGCTGGTGGTCCTTGGTATAAGAAGAAAGCAGGCTGAGCAAATCATGAAGAATAAGCCAGTAAGCAGCACTCTTCCATGGCCTTTGTATCAGCAACTGCCTCCAGGTTCTTGCCATGAC